TTCTTCACAATTAGTGAGAAGTGCAGCGTGATATTTCCCAGAGACATATGCCTGGGCACCAGTAAGGGTGGCCATATCAATAATAACATCAGCCTGAATGATTAACACAATAGACACAACAATTTTTGCAGGAACTAAGAATTGCATTAGATTAGAATGTAAACAGCAAAGGGAGTCACCTTGAGGATATGCTTTGAGTAATACACAGCATCGGCAAGAATAAGACGACCTTCAGCATCGGTGTTATTGATCTCGACAGTCTTCCCGCTGAGCATTGTGATAACATCGTCAGGCTTGCTAAATATTTTGTGAAAAAGGAGGCAAAAGAATAATGCTGAAATAAAACAGAAAATGCTACTTGGCGAAATTGGCTACGCTGTTTTCCACAATGGCTACGCATAGGTAGAGCTTCTCTTTGAACCCCGACCTCACAAGGCAGTAGAATGTTCCCAACATTCCAGCTGCACCGCCCATATCTCTCTTCATACCTGAAATGATTCGTTTATTACATGCAATTTCCGATATTATAACAGTAAGTTACCAGGCATTCCCGTCTTTCCCTTGATTTGCATGCCGCCACTATCAAACACAACACCTTTCCCACAAAGGCAGTAACTCTTAGTGGCATTTTCCGGCTCATGCTTTAAAACTACGAATGATGGTGGATTCGGACCAGCTCTACCAACACTCCAAATGCCTCCAAATCCTTGTTTCTTCAGCTCTTCCCCCTTAACACAAAATTTGAGCTGTAACTATATCAGGAATTTTAGAACACATACAGTTATCACAATAGATTTCACATCAAGCTCTTCAGCAACAGAAAGGACTTCCATCAGTAATGCATCAGTGGTGAGTTCATTGGACGGAGCGTCGATCATGCGACAGACCTCACGTATTGAAAATCCGACGTTTTCAATCAGTTTGAGATCTTCTTCGTCCAGCTAAAAACTCATAGGAAGACTACTGGTCAAAGAGTCCTTTTTGTTCAAAGAATAGAAAAAAAAAAGTATTATTTGCGAAAATCTTCTGCAACGTCATGTAGCACTATTTTTTAAAGCATAACAAACATAAAAAGGAGTTTTCTTGTTGAAGAAGAAGGAGTTATACAGTACTTGTAAAACATGCTAGTTTGAGTAGGCCGAGATATTATGTTGTGCGTCAGGAAGAAACAGATCCTGCTTCAAATCTAAGCTGATTCGTTTTGTTTTCTCAAAGCATGCGCGATCATGTTAAGAGGAGAATGAAGATTTACCTTTTCTCCATCTGGCAAGCATAGCTCGATAGTGAGATCTACTTTTGGAGGAGGATCGGTCTTGCGGGTAAAGGTTGGGAATGCACGAGCAATTGCAGCAACATTAGCAAAGACATTTCCAGCTTCACATACCAGAATGATGTTGAGCTTCTGAAGTGACATACTACACTGCGACATACTTGAGGGAAAGAATTTGAGAAATATGCAAATATGAATTACACGGTTCTCTACAGTGATAGGAACTGTCCTGAGTTCCTTGGTCAACACGTGACAATTTGACGGAGCATTGTGCCTCGACGAAGAGTCCGGCAGGGAGATGATTCGAGATTGGTTAAAAAGAAGCGGGAGACTTCCAGAAACGGGAAGTGCTGACATTGCTGCCTCCCATCTCTTTTCATCTGTTGAAAACGTATAAATATGGATAGGGCATCAGCAACGTAAAAAACCTCACCAACTTCTCCATTGAACTTCGATGCAAGAATTTTATTAAAAGGTAAAGCTTTGAGAAGGCTGTGCTTGCCTACGATAAGTAGTCCATAGTTTGGAAGTCCGATAGACGCGTTCAGGGTAGCACCGAGTGCAATCATCCTCTACAATGATGTGGTTCAGTGCTCCTCTCTTCTTTCTGATATTGCATGGAAAGATAACAGATCTGCAGAAAAAAAGCGCAGCATCAAAAGAACACACTGTCCAACAGAAATGAAATATTCTAAATTCTGTTAAAAGATGTTTATCTTTTGAATCCAAAAGAATACTCCGTTATTGCGAATGTACATGATCGTCTCTGCAGATGAAAATTGCATTGCTTGTACTTTTTATATTTGCAAACCATGGTTTCCAAAGTGAAGTCAAGAAATATAAACACGTCGCAGTAATCTTAATTTCAAATAAGACTTTGGACTTTTCTGTGTCGTCAATGCTGATTTTCAATGATCAAAGTACAACCCTTTAGAACTGAGTTGTTCCGCATACCGTTTTCTTTCGTGTTCCCTAAATATTGCCAAAGAATCACTACGTATACACTCTAGTGTACAAAACTTTAAAAAGTGAGGAAGTTTCCAGCATTTTATTTTGTATTTTCTGTGAGTGTTTACTGCTGGCAC